ATCCATAACCATCTTCCTCTACTTTATATGGGACGCTGCCATGGCATGGCCTGACAAGATGTGCATCGATGTGCGCCCAGGATCCAAACTGGCAAACCCCGGGCCGCTGCAGCAGAGCGTGCGCGCTTAACCGCGTGCGCCACCGGGCAGGCCCCTATATTTGTCTTTTTGATGGTGTCCCCTAAGTCCCTTAAGCTCTGTCATTCACTTCATTTTCTTTTTGCTTCTCAGTCTCTCTAATTCAAATGAAGTGTTTTCAAGTTTGCTGATTCTTTTTCAGTTATTGTATTTTTATGCTCTAGAATTTTGATTTTTTAGTAATTTCTGTCTCTGTTGATATTCTTGTTTTGTTCGTGTATTGTTTTCCTGATTTCGTTTAGTTGTCTGAATTCTCCTTAGCTTGTTGAGCATATTTATGACACTTGTTTTAAAATCTTTGTCACATAAATCAGAGGCATGTGTTTCTTAAGTGTTGGTTTCTGGAGATTTGTTCCTTTGAATAGGCTGTGTTTCCCTCTTTTTTTGTATGCCTTGTGATCTTTTGTTGAAGTTTGGGCATTTGAATAAATAGCCACCTCTCCCATTCTTTGCACACTGGCTCTGTGCAGGGGAAGATCTTCACTAAACAGCCTGGCATAAAGGCTTAGGGTCATCTCAGACGTTTTCTGGGGATATGTCTTCCCTGAGCTTTTGCGTATTCTTTTGTTCTAGTTCCAGTGTATACTTGGCTGCATTTTAAGTGTTAATTTCCGTTAAGTCTTCACCCCTGCTTCCTCCAGGAGCCTAAGCTGTCTGTTATATTCCTCTGCCCATAATCTCTTGTCCACAGGTGCCCACAAGTCTGCACTCTCTCTGCAGCTCTCTTGTGTCATGGGACCCACCACTGCTTTTAGCATATCTGAACTATATCAAGTTTCTATCTGTGCTCTGAGATAGGCAAGCTAGAAAGCAGTCCCTTGCGAAGCCCTCAAACAAGCCAGAATGTTGCAAGCAAGTTCCACTCTTTTCCTTCTGTCCTGAGGGAGGAGCCAGGAATTGGTCAGTTTCCTCCTCACCACACTGTGCTGCACTAAGGAGGTGGTGGGACAAGGGTGAGGAAAAATTCCATGAAATTTCCTGCCTTTTTGAGTGCGGCTTTTTCTTGTTTAGGTGTTTGCTTGGTTGCTGCAGCTTCCTAACTGGTTTCTAGAGTTCTTACAGAGACACTTTGGTCCATATGTTGTGTTTTCTGTGGGGGAGCAGGGGTCTGGACCTTTGTAGTCCACTGTAATCCACTATCTTGCTGACATATGAAGTTATTTTTTTATGTTCAAAGTCATTTTATGTATTATGCTATTATCAATTGCTAGATTGGCATTAGGAAAATCATACTTGGAGAAGTGCTGTAAAAAAACAAAGATTTTGACACGTTTTATAGTTTGCCAGTTGAGTGTCCATAAGTGATTTGGAGGCTTTCCATAGATTATGATTTGGTCTGTCATATCCACAAAGTCCTTATGCCTTATGGACAGTGTGAATTAAGGTTCTCTGTCTAGAAAAGGGCTGACTTGCATGCTGATGAAAGGTCATCCACTAAATTGATTTGAAAGAATGTGTCAGGTGCCTGATGAAAGTATTCACACTGGAATCTTATCATTCATGTATTTAACTTTATTCAAGCTCAACAAAAAAGCAAGATAGAACAACATAAGTGTAATTAAAGGTTCTGTCTACCACCCCAGTGTGAGTTTGATGCAACAAACAGATTCACAGATGTGAATCTGCCATTTTTTCCAGGGAGACTGTTCCTAAATGAGAATTCCAGCTGCTGTGTGTATGATCTTTCCCAAGATATGGGGTGCAGGGGGGTCGGGGAGACCTGCTGCATTGGACTTAGATCAGTTTTCTAAAAGACTCAAGGATTATTTTGAATATAAGTAACTTTGCCTAATAGAAACTTCAGTTCTATAATATTCCATTTCTGTAGTTGTTTATCTTAAGGAAATACCTGAAATGCAGATAGATTCAGGCACTAAGTAGCCACAGTATTACTAATAATAGTAGAAAAAACAACTTTATTTCCAGTGGTTGGAAAATTGATAAGGCACTATGCCTTTTCCATACTATGTACTATTAGGTCCATTAGGAAATTACATTCAGAAAGGAACATGAAGAAATTATTATATAAAGGATGATCTATATTAAATAAAAATTGCACAGAAAAAACAACTGGAGGTGAAAAGATCAAGAAAATAGTAGTAGTTCTGTGTGGAATCTTGACATTTCTGTTTTCTTTTTTTTTTTTTTTTTT